ATTTTACGACATAATTGGCTTTCATATGTAGACTATGTAATTATATGATAAACAGAATATTACATGGTCGCTTGGAGATACGAAATTTTATCGCTCCACTCACTCGTGAGAGATCTTTTCAACACTTAAGTAGAAGATAAAATCCGTATCTCCGCGCGACCATGTAATATCCTCTATTTATGATTATATGACTTAGTTGTCATTCTATTGTTTCTCCTTTTTCCTTAACTTGAAAAGTCAAGACACTTAAATGAACTGGTTTAAGGACGATGCGTAAATACAATTCATGTCAATTCTCTCATTAATTTGATCACAAAGCCCATTTCCAAAACCTCATGCCGAGATATTAAAGCTTTTCTTTCGAATGTAACGGTCCTTAACATTTTTCCTTACAATTATGGGTACTACCAATCTCAATAAACTATAAAATGTAAAGGCTTAACTGTTATAAACACGTTTCATTGTATAGAAATTGAAAATAGGTAGTTTTTGAAAATAATAATAATTGAATCCCACCTACCTTCCATACGATACCGTGTTGATTTCCCCTGGTTCTTCAGAGAAATGTGTAAATCGGCGCACGGCGACATAGAGATTTGAACAAGTACCCACAAAAAGATAGTAAGAAACATAACTGCCTCTTTAAAAGTATTTAGTTGGAGAAAAGCTTTGGCATTGTAGCCCGGAATTAATTTGTGTGGTTATCACACTGACAGCTGAACGTGAACGATAATTGTGCTAATGCAAGCTGTTAGGGATCCACCATTAGTAGAGTTAAAAGGGGGGAGGGAGGATTTAATATGTTTTTTTGGACTCACAGTATTCATGTTTTGGTAATCTTATTTCTGCGTCCTTTTACTCAAAGTTTTCGTTACATGGTTGACTCTATGCGTGGTTGGATTGTTGCTGTTGTTGTTTCTGCTTCTAATGTTTTTTTTTTTTTTTTTTTTTTTTTTTTTTTTTTTACCTGGTTGTCTCCCTACCACCACCACCACCACCACCCCCTTTCCTAACGGTTCATCCCTTAAGGTCTGGCATACTAATCGACAGCACGTAATCTATAACCCTTTGGAAAATAATGATAGCAGGCAAGAGTGTTAATTCTCATTTCCTTTTTATTTTCTCCTTATCAAATAACGTCTTATAATGAGAGGTCTAAAAAAAATCTATAAAAAGAAGAAAAACGCATGGCTATTTCTTTAAAAAGGAATTATAGACGTAGAAGAGGTTTAAAATTAATTCGGTTTGTGTGGTTTTCAAACTGACAGCTGAACCTAAACCARTTATTATGCTAATACGAGTCAACTATACCTGTTATATAAAGGCAAACATATCTACAACACGTATCCTRTATTTAAGTAATTAATAGCAATAGCAAGCAGGAGCGTTATTAATTACCGCCGTTATCGTTCACTAATCAATCAGATTGCAGTTGTCATCAATAAGAACTTACAAGATTCAATGTAATGTGRTCTGGTATAGCTACTGGCTTAATGAATACAATGAAAATCATAATTACTATCTTGTTTTTAATYATCATTATGTCATATCAACAAAGTTGACGTTGTAAGCCGTTTACAGGTTTCCTCTTTATTGGTTATATGGATATTATTATAATATAGATAATTGGTGAAAGAGCGTGATCTATACTACTGGTAAATGCACGCTTGCGAGCATAACTAACTTTTCATATATCATAGAATCCCATATCACAAATTTATCTAGTGAAAAGGGCTCTCCCTGATTGGCTAAAGTGGCGAATTCGTGACGTACAACASGGGGTATTCAGCGTGGAATCTTACTATTTCAAACAAAAATGGGATCCCTGTGTCGCACGATAATATTCATTTCAAAGTCGATATTTTGGAGTTTGAGGCGATGTCCGTATTTCTGAGCCAGCAAATCTCTTGATCTGCGGTCCACAATTCAGAGCGAGCTTCGCTCTCTTTACGATGAAATGTTTGAAGAGGAGGTTATATTCATCAAAGTAATATTTCTAAGACAGAGTGTTTTTATAAGTCTTTCAGCATTGTTGTGGGCTAACACGTTCGATATTTCGACATGGAATTCTCAGATCATCGAACAAATTCTAAGGCGATGTCTTTTGAAGACCACTCGACCTACCCGATGAAGAGACGATTTATACTCTTTGAACTAGCTACGTGTATGTGCCTGATCGAGTTTTATATTATCATAATATCAGAAGATAT